TTTCAGTGATGAGTTCACTAGAAGCCCAAACCTCATCCTTATACAATAGACCCATGTAATAGACATGCACATGAAACCCTGAACCTAAAATAAAAAAAAAAATACTTTGCCCATTGATTGTTTCATTTCCCTATATGGATAATTAGTCACAGAACAAAGACTATTCTGAGGAAAAACGGGCAACCCCATATACTGCTATGCCCAACCCCATATACTTTCTTGGAGGTCTTTCTTCAAATGGGGGACCATTATACTGGTGTCCATCTCTTTGAAGAAAAGGAGAGGGAAAATCTGAAGTTTGAGGCTCTCTTTTTTTTTAATCATAGTCTTTTCCATCTTTTAATTTTTTTTCAATCTTATCTACTGTAGCAGAAACTACCAATATCTGAGTTTTTCTTTTGGAGACACAAAATTACACCATATTTCCCATCCTGTGGCATCTATGTGAGACTATACAACTGATTCCTATCAATGTGACACATCTCAGAGAGGAGAGCTGTGTTACTTGGAGGCTCAGGCATATCTGATATGCTCTCAGTCTTTCTTTACACATCTCATAAATGTAGAGAACTCTAATATACAGTCACAAGCTGGCAGATACCTGGATCCCTGAATGATTGCATGGAGCAGAGCTCTCCATTGACCACACTGAAATGTGACTTGACTGGGAACTTTTTAATGTTATGTTACATTGTTTGTCTTAGCAATCAAGTCTTCCCAGACTCATAATTGCCAGCTTTTTTCTCTTCTCTCTTATTCTCTCTGGCCAAATGTTTGTTGATACTCTGTTGCTGAGTCATTTCTTGAATCTTCACCTGACTAATTCACCAAAAGTTACTTATTAATGGCCCTAGCTCTTCGAAGATAGGGCAGGTATACTGTTCACCTTTGCACCTTTATTGTCATTCATGCAGTACATTCAGTAAGTAAAGGTGTTAGGTGCTATTAATAAGTTGTTGCTAAAATGGGTCCTTCTTCTTGAGGTGCTTACCTCAAATTGAGGAGACAAGATATATACCTATATAAGGTAGTATATGAAAAGTGCCAATGGTTTTTTCAGAAAATAAGTGCAGCAGCAGATCAGAAGAGGAAGCTAATATACAGCCTACTGTAATTAAGAAAGTGTTCATATCAGGGAGGAGAGGTGAGCTAAGCTTAAAGGGCAGGTAGGATTCTAAGAGGTGGAGGAGATGGGAGAAATCATAGGAAAAGAGAAAGAGGAGGCATCTCTAGAGGTGCCCAGTGACATAAGCACAATTAAAACTTGGTTGTGTACATCATTCTTCCAAAAGTGAGGACATAGCCCAGTTGACTAATCAATGAAATTATACCTCTCTGCTCCTGGCATATTATACTTTCATGTACATCTTTAAAACAATTCCCCTGATCTCTCCCTATATGAGATAAATAAATAAGTGCTCATTATTGATAGTGCTTCCTATACTCTATATGACATAGTCTTTCCAATCGATCAGAGAGTTTTATCTGGCTTTCTCCTCCATTCTGTCTATCAGTAACTTACGCTTGCACTCTCATTGAATATATGTTCCTCCATAATTTCTTCTCATGGCTTTAAACTAATTTTAACAATGCTTTGTGTGTATAGATACATTTATTGCAGAGCAAAGGGCTCTCATCCATCTTTCATCACAGAATATGGAGAAGACTGAGACTATCTCCTAGAGCAAAGAGTTTAAGTACAGATGATATTAGCTGTATATAACCAAGACAGGGCCGTTGGCGTATTATGACAGACAGGGTTGGCGGTTCATTGGTAGTTTTCAAATGAAGAATTCACTATAAATGCTAATAAAGCCAGGCCAAGCTGATCATTGTCCAGGAAGGAGAATAGACAAGGAGACAGCTCTCAAGAGGGTCAGTCATCAGGAAAGGAGTGGAGAGAAAAGTGTTCTGAGGTTGCAATACGGACTTAGGAGAAGTCATCTCTGAGAACTTTGTTTCATGATAATTTTCAGCTGGACCCATCCTTTTTCCATTCCTAGCATCCACGCTCCCATCTGAAGGGTTTCAGTTCTTGTTATAGGAACCTTAAAAAAAAAAGTGTTATTTTTTTGTTTGTTTTGTTTGTTTGTTTTGTTTTTTGAGACAGGATCCCACTCTGTCACCAAGGTTAGAGTGCCGTGGCACAGTCTCGGCTCACTGCAACTTCCACCTCCCAGGATCAAGTGATTCTCCCGTCTCAGCCCCCTGAGTAGCTGAAACTACAGAAGTGCAGCACCACACCCGGCTAATTCTTGTACTCTTTGTAGAGATGGGGATTCACTGCATTGCCCAGGCTGCTTTTGAACTCCTGAGCTGAAGTGATCCACCTGCCTCGACCTCTCAAAGTGCTGGGATTTTTGAACCTACCTCTCAAAGTGGGTTCATGGTGGCATGAACCACCATGCACAGTCTAGGGAACTGTATTTGATACATCATTGTGTATCAAATTGTGATAGTAGGGAAAAATGACAGAAATGGAATATTTACCCATAAAGCATAGTTATAAAATTCCTTTAAATGTTCTATTTTATTCTCCAATATATTTGGAAACCCAATACATTAATATTCTAGATGTGCTGAATCCCCACCTCTTCTGTCTCTGAGAACACTTTTGGTCCTCACCATTCATCTGGTCCTCCACAGAGTCTGCCTTAACACTGAGGTTGACTTTTATGCAGGTGCTTTTTCCTTCCTCGGTAGCTACTGACAGCCCTGGTTCTTGCTGGTCACCCATAGACTTAGTTCCGATGAAGCCGCATACTTGTGACCTGTTTTTCTTCCCAATAGACTCTGAGCCTCCTTGACGGGAGAGATTTTCCCTTTGGACCTCCATCTTCCTGGTGAAAGAAAGGTGCCTCATGGCAAATCTTCAACAAGTGTTGGCTGTTTGAATGGATCGGTGAAGGATGAATGGATGAAAGAAATGCAGCTCCCTTGCCAGTAGGGTTTGTGTTACACCTCCTGTGTCTGTGGTACCTGGCGCTGTCTCTTGAACAGAGTTTAAGCCCATGGTTGTTCTTTGAGCATGAAAATTATTAGAATCAGTATTTAGGGGAAGAGTTATGTGTTGTTCTTTATTTCTCTATTAGTTATAACCCAGCGTACTTCAAAAAGTACTTAAAGGAAATGAACATTAAGACTAGTACTTTTTCTCAAATATCTTACAGGTTACAGGATGGTTCTTTTGAACTCTGAAAAGCAAGCTGGTTTTGCGGTCACCTTCATGGTTAGGTCAGAAGTCACCAGTGCTTTAGCAACGGAGCCTTGGGTGTGGTGTCTGCATGACTTCACCCAAGCGTGTTCCCCAGCATGAACCGATAACTCACTTAAGGGAGGGAGCACGTGATTAAAGGATGGTTTTTAACATCCTGTCAAACTACATGTTCATCTGGACTCTCAATAAGAAATGAATGTGTCCTCAGAGTCGCTTGTCTGTTTTAGACACGTTTCTAGCAGCACTTTGAGCATTCTTTAACACATTGCACACCCCTTGAAAGCAGAGCCCGTGCTTTTGGGCTTTGTGTGCAGTGAGTGTCTGTAAATCAGCAATCGCTTTCAAATTTATGGGATTATAAGGCCAGGTCATCCCATGCCCTCAGAGGTGCAGTCCAAATTAACCTGAAACAGTTTTCTGACTTAAATCACAAGTGCCCTGACTGGTAAGCTCACAACTTTCTTTCCTAACGTCTAAATTTTTTTTTCTTCTTCCAATTTGGCTATTCCCCCTCTCCCCCTTGCCCCATCTTTCTCCTCATTTCAACAAAATCATCAATTTGCCAAGTAACCACTGTGGAAACTTCATGAGAGCTGCTGTATTTTACGGTAAATATCACCCACCCAGGGCATCCAGCTGCGCTGCACCAGATGTGCTTTCCTGGCCAATCGCCAGCCCCTGCTGAGCCATTGCTCCTAGGACATCTTTACCACTGTGAGCTGATCACAGCAAGAGTAGCTCCTTCCAGAGACTTCGGTTCATGACAGAGAAAGTCTGTCTTGCTTTGTGCTTTCAACTGTGTGCCCCATGTGCTGAAGCTGCGTCTGCACCATGGTCTAGAAGCAAACAATTAGTCTCTGCCATGTTCTGTGGTCTTTGAAGTGAGGTTCTCCTTCTGTCCTAATGAGATGAGTCCAGGCGACTCTGCATAGCACTGTAGGGTGAGTTGAAATGAGATCTGGCAGCCTCTCCATTCCCTTGGTGTCGGTCTTCCCACCTCTTTACCCACCAAGGTTTCTCCCAACCCAATCTTGGTACAAGTTGAAACTTCAACCCTCAGTATCTCAGCATGTGGCCTTATTTAGAGCTATGGTCTATGAGGACATGTAGGTGAGCCCTAATCCCATATGACTGGTGTTCTTTTCTTCTTTTTTATCTTTTAACTTTTACTTTATGTTTAGGGGTACACGTGCAGGTTTGTTTTATGGGTAAACTCATATCGTGGGTGTTTGGTGTACAGACTTATTCCATCACCCAAGTACTAAGCATAGTACCTGACTGTTCTTTTTCTTCTGAACCTCTACCTCCTGCTCCCCTCCTTCCTCAAGGAGGCCTCATTGTCTGTTGTTCCCCTCTTTGTATCTCTGTGTCCTCATTATTTAGCTCCCACTTGTAAGTGAGAACATGAAGTATTTGGTTTTCTGTTCCCACATTGGTTCCCTTAGGATAAGGCCTCCAGATCTATCCATGTTCCTGCAAAGGACTTGATCTCATTTTTTCCTTATGGCTGCATAGTATTCCATGGTGCATATGTGCACATTGTATTTATTCAGTCTGCTGTTGATGGGCATTTAGGTTGATTCCTTATCTTCACTATTGTAAATAGTGCTGCAGTGAACATACATGTGCATGTGTCTTTATGGTAGAATGATTTATATTTTGGGGGTATAGACCCAATAATGGGATTGCTGGATGAATTGGTAGTTCTGTTTTTAGTTCTTTGAGGAAGCACCACACTGCTTTCCGCAATGGTTGAACTAATTCAGACTGCTTTTCTTATAAGAGGAGAAAAGACACAGAGGCAGGTGTGCAGAGAAAAGAGGCTGTGATGACAGACAGGAAGAAGATGACCATGTGGCTGGGTGATGCCTCTACAAGCCCAGGAGCACCAAGCACAGCCAGCATGCACCGGGAACTGGCAGAACCGTCGGAGAGAGGATGGCTCTGCTGACACCTTGATTTTAGGCTTCCAGCCTCCAGGATTGTGAGGTAATGCATTTTGACATTTTAAGCTGCCTAGTTAGTTGTTGGTACCTTGCTGCAGCCCCCCAAAAGGAGCACTCCTCTTTTTTCTCCCCCTCTCCTCACAGCAGCTGCCTTAAAACTCAGGGTCATTCCACAATCATGCTCCATTCCAGCCGCATTCCAAGTGGCAAGTCTTTCTCTCCTTGCCCTCCAGCCCTCACAACTTCTCAGACTTTGTCCGCTTCTCCAATGCCTCAGTGTCTTTAGAGTTATTCAGTTACAGTGAAGTGACCGCCTAAGAACAATAGCACCTGAGTGCGTGGCTGCCGGGCTGACGAGTCAATGGCCTGGGTCCAGGTTGTACGTAACATCCGCCAGAGGTCTCCCATGAAAAATAGCTCCCACTGTTTCTCAAACTGGCATCTGGGGTTTCTCTAAGAGTTTTCTTTCTTGAGATAAGGTCTTGCTCTGTTGCCCAGGCTGACATGCAGTGATGCAATCACAGCTCACTGCAGCCTCGACCTCCTGGGCTCAAGCAATCCTCCTACCCCAGCCTCCTGAGTAGTGGGGACTACAGGTGCATGCTACCATGCCCAGCTAAGTTTCTAACTTTTTTCAGAAATGGGGTCTCACTACGTGGCCCAGGCTAGTCTTGAATTTCTGGACACAAGATCCTTTCACTCCAGCCACCCAAAGTCCTGGGATTATAGGGATGAGCCATTGTGCCCAGCCTCTCCTGTGTTTTCATTTTCAAAATCTAAAAAATTGTTTTATTAGTCTTCCAATCATGAAATCAAAACTTGTTTTGCAGTGGTTATTACAAGAAAATATAATTTTTAAATCCATTTTCCTCAAACACTTTTCCTCCTTAAAAAGGGGGATATTTATTTCTCAAAATTAAAAGATGATGCTGCAGTGGTCAGAGGGGAACCTGGGCTGAGAGGCCGTCGGTCTTACCACTTGCTTATTCTCATCCTGAGCTGGTTTTCATTGAATGCCAAGCCAAATTTGCCAGCTCATAATTAGCCATTTCATGTACAGATACATTTGCATGAGGTTTTTAGAACATAAAAAAATGGGCCAGGCGTGGTGGCTCACACCTGTAATCCCAGCACTTTGGGAGGCTGAGGCAGGTAGACCACAAGGTCAAGAGATAGAGACCATCCTGGCCAACCTGGTGAAACCCTGTCTCTACTAAAAATACAAAGATTAGCTGGGGTGGTGGCCCACACCTCTAGTCCCAGCTACTCGAGAAGCTGAAGCAGGAGAATCACTTGAACATGGGAGGTAGAGGTTGCAGTGAGCTGAGATCATGCCACTGTACTCCAGCCTGGCAACAGAGTGAGACTCTGCCTCAAACAAATAAACAAACAAACAAAAAACCTGCTCACCTATCTTTTTATCAACTGAAACAGCCTTTCCAAACAACACTCTCTTTTTCCCCTACCACACCTCATGGAGTAAATATGCTGTGAGCAACTTTTGAAATCAGTTATTTAGAATCTTGGAGGCTGGGAGATGGAGCAGTGGAGCAGAAGTCCCCTGGAGTATTTTGAAGTAAACACCAAATTATAAATGAAGAGCGCTTTATAAATAGGTTGTAGGGGCAGGAACAGGGATGGAGTGCATGGGCTGGATGCCAGCCCCTGGTTAACCTTCAGGAAAACAACTTCCCCAGCATGAGTCTCAGTTCACCTGCTGGAGGTCTTGAGGGCTCGTGCCCCTGTCTCTGAAGGTCTAGTGGAAAGGTTCTTTGATGAACTTCAGTGTGGATGTATGTGTGGGGAAGTGTTGTCTTCTCCAGGCCTGGTTTCCACCATCTGAGCATCATCAACACCTAATGAAGGTTTGCTGTCTCTGCTCAGGCTGCAGAGAGGGAGGGTGGGCCTGAGCAGGAGGGGAGAGTGGGAAGAGATGGCCTTGAGCGTGCAGAAAGCCCCCTCCAGGCCACCTTCCAAGGGCCTGGTTTCCAGCTCTGCCATGGCCCATCCAGAGCAGAGGGCTTCAGCAGCTGCTTGGAACAAGGCTTAGGCCAGGAGACACTGACAAGGTATATGAGGTGGACCTGCTAGGCGCTGTGGCTCATGTCTATAATCCCAGCACTTTGGGAGGCTGGGGCAGGCAGATCACCTGAAGTCGGGAGTTGGAGACCAGCATGACCAATATGGAGAAAACCCGTCTCTACTAAATATACAAAATTAGCCGGGCAGGGTGGTGAATGCCTGTAATCCCAGCTACTCAGGAGGCTGAGGCAGAAGAATTGCTTGAACTTGGGAGGTGGCAGTTGCCGTGAGCTGAGATCACGCCACTGTACACCAGCCTGAGTCACAGAGTGAGACTGTGTCTCAAAAAAAAAGAAAAAAAAATTACATTCAGTGAAAAGTAAGCTTTCATTTCTTCCAGATCAGGCACTCTCTCTTCAGAGGCAACCAATAATACATTCTTCCACATATTTTCTATGCATCAACAACATATTCATATATCAGTAAACATATATGTTGATGTTTACATGGCAGAATACCATACCCAATATTTGTGATCTTACTTTAGTCACTCAACACGTCTCAGTGCTCTTTTCTTTTTCTTTTTTTTTTTTTTTGAGATGGAGTTTTGCTCTTGTCACCCAAGCTGGAGTGTGCAGTAGTGCGACCTTGGCTCACTGCAGCCTCTGCCTCCCGAGTAGCTGGGATTACAGGCATGCCCCACCATGCCCGGCTAATTTTTGTTTTTTTAGCAAAGACAGTTTCACTGTGTTGGCCAGGCTGGTCTCAAACTCCTGACCTCAAGTGATCTGCCCAGCTTGGCCTCCCAAAGTGCTGGGATTACAGGCATCAGCCACTGCACCCCGCCCTTCAGTGCTCTTTTGATCCCTTTATAGAATGATCCAACTTATTTAGAAAAATTTCATGCTACGAGTGCTGCAACGAACATTTCCACATGCATTTCTTATCAGGTGTGCAAGTGTATTTGCCGGATATATTCCTAACAGTAGCAGAACTGTCAGATCAAAGGTATATGAATTTTTTATTTTGATAGATATCGACAAATTGCCCTCTAAAAAGAGCATGTGGATTTATATTCCCTTCCTCTCTGTTCTCTTACCAGTGCTGTGCATTTTCAACTTTCTGATCTTTGCAAAATGTATAAGTAAACAAATGTGTCTTCCGTGATTTTCTTGCTTCCAGTCACGGTCCTTTTGATTCACTATTCACCTGCTGCTAGGGTGTGAATCCAATCCTGTAACTCAGCTGTAGAAGATGCTTCCATTGCTCTGCACTGTCCTTGGGATAGAGTTCCATTTCCTTGACTGGCTTGCAAGGCCTTTGTGTTTAGAGTCCTTTGTAGGTCTCTGTTGTCATCCCTCATCTCTTGCTGCTCACACTCCACATTTCAGCCATGCCGAATTACTCAGCCTGCTCTCCCTTACCTCCTTCCAGATCTCTTTCCTGTGGTCCTCCTGCCTAAGAATACTCTCCACTGCCTGTCTTCCCTGCTCTGCCTCACACTCATCGTTCTACTTTTGGCTTAGACGTGACACCTACTAGGTTATAGCAGGGATGCACTGGCTGCCTCCACAGCCCCCATACTTCACCTTTTAAATTATGCAACACTTGATACATCAAAATAGTGTGTAATATACATGCAAGTTATGATGGATAATCGTAAAAATAAACCTACGTGCCTACCAACTGCACCCCAAGAACCAGATGGCTGCCAACATTGTATCTGTGCTGCTTTCCTGTCCATCACTACTCTTCCCACACTGGGTGGTACAGCATCTATATTTGCCTCTATTTCCCACTGGCGTCTCAGTCCTGGGAAACAGGTCTGGTTTGTGCATAGTGGCATTCCAAGGCCAAGCATAGGGCCTGATAAGTTGCGGTCACTTAATAATATTTTCAAATTGGATGTAATAATAGAAAGGAGACTTTTTTTTAAATAGCTAGGCTCTCAGAAAGCAAGTCAATTATTAAGAACTTATCATCAGTTCATGCTGTATATTGGGTCATTTGTCCAAGGTCAGAGATCAAGATGTATAGCTTAAGCCTCCTACTCTGGCTCCTTTGGTGAGGCTAGTCTGCTGTGACTTTTCTTTTTTCTATTTTTTGATGGGTGGTATCATTGTTTATTTTAATTTTCCAGTTACACAACTGGAAGGCTGAACAGTTTCTGAATTACCAGGAATCTATCCTAATATTATAATTGCAAAGTAAATGAGCTTACTCTTCCATGGTAATAAGTAATTCAGTTCCTGTCCAAAGCTGGAAATGTCATTCATGACACTGATTTCACAAATTAAATGCTATCACCTACTTGAATTAAATAAGGAAACATGTCACTAATGGAATTTAGCTTGAGATAATAATAGTAACACTAGTTTAATAAGGGCAGACCTCATGCTAGGCACACTGTAGATTGTTTGTGCTGATCTTTACCATTATCCTTCAAAGATAAGAATGATTATTTCCATGTTGAGGTGAGGACATGGAGGTTTAAACGGCAAGGGTTGAACCAGTGCTACTAAGCTTGGACATCAGAGAGCCAGAGCGGGCATCAAAGTCTGTGTCTCCACAGACCCAAGCCCTTTCCCCCATATCACACGGCATCTGAACAGCATAACTAAAGAAATAGCACAATGCCTTTAAAAAGTGTTTTCCTGGGCCGGGCACAGTGGTTTACACCTGTAATCCCAGCACACTGGGAGGCCGTGGTGGGTGGATCATGAGGTCAGGAGTTCAAGACAAGCCTGGTCAAAATGGTGAAACCCCGTCTCTACTAAAAATACAAAAATTAGCCAGGTGTGGTGGTGAGTGCCTGTAATCCCACCTACTCGGGAGGCTGAGGCAGGAGAATCATTTGAACCCAGGAGGTGGAGGTTACAGTAAGCTGAGATTGTGCCACTGCACTCCAGCCTGGGCAACAGTATGAGACTATGTCTCAAAAAAAAAAAAAAAAAAAAGCATTACTAAAAAGAGTAGAATAAAGTAGAATATTATTAATAATAAGTGCTGAAAGGAAAAATAAAGCAGTGTAAGGGAATGGGAGGGGACAAGTCTGGATGTTTCTTTAGAAGAGGAGTTCGGAGGAGCTTCCTTTGGTAAGATGATCTTTGAACAGAGACCTCAATGAAAGAAGGGAGGGAATCTGTGGAGGTACCGGGGGGTAGAAGGTGGAGAAAGAGGGTCCTGGGCAAGGTGCACCTGGCTTTGTGAAATTTGTAGCATATCCCAAGCTATAATATTGCTGTTTACATGTTAGAAGAGGTTCTCCTCCATTTTATGGAGCTTATGAATTGAAAAAGTTTTCTCAAGTCTTCCAAACAACTGATTTCTCTTGACTTTCAGACCCCTGTTAAACATAGTGAGCCCCAAGTTTCTCTTCAAAGAGTCAGTATGTCAGTATGTTCAGCTCTCTTATTCTTTAATTCTCTATTTTAAAGTTTAACTTTCTTGTAATTCTGGTAAGCAACCTTCTCCACCAGTTCTAATCAGTAGTTCACATCTGTTCCCCTGGCCCCCGGGTCTATCCTGACTCATCCTGGTCATCTGCTCTCCTCACCTGCTCCTGTCACCTTCTTTGACCTAGGTCACCTCTGGTTACATGCTCTGACCCACCCGTAAACATCCTTCCTGCCAAAACACCCAGCCTGCCACTTCAGCTCAGACCCCTGGTCTCTTTAAAAATAGCCATTCAGGATTAGTCTAGTTTGTGCAGTCTAATACTAGGCAATAGGGGAACAACACAGCAGCAAGGGTGACCCCCATCAGCCATAAATACCCCTTCCCCTCCTTGTCCAGGTGTGTGCTCCCCATTCTTCCATCTCTGAGCCACACCCTTCTATAGAAGTAAATTGCCTTGCTAAGGAAATTTATATTCGAGTGCTACTTCTTTCTCGGTATTGAAAATTCTACTTATAACACACCCAAGGGCAAGCTGCACCCTTGCCTGCTTCCTGTTGACTCTGAATGAGGAGAAGTTTGCTCAAGCACCCACTCCCACCCGTGAAGCTCAGCAGAGAGTGGGTGATAGGGGACTTAATGAGATGGCACCTGTGAAACCCAAGCACATGCATGAAAGCTTATTGGTTCATAAACTAGTTGGAGAAACCCCATCAGTTGTTTTTTTGTAAGATTGAAGGTCAGGGGCACTCAGCATGGTTATATTTATCAAGAGGAAAGATGTAATTCCCTTGTGTATTAGAAGTAAAGGTCCCATTCAAAGTGCATATGTATTTCTATCTCTCCAGGCCTGCTGGGGCCTGTTATACCAAACACCACGTGGATGGTCTCAGCAGACAGAAAAACTCCACGGAGTTCTATCTGGATAGCAGAAGGCCATCAAAGGCAGATGTCCAGGGCCTGAAAGTGGCACCAGAAAAAGAAAGGGTGGATCTTCACACAGGATGGGTGGAGGGGAAAGGAAGTAAGCTACTTAGTTGGAAACAAAACAAACCCATCCAGTATGAAATCGCACAATAGAAGGAGGAACTGAGAGTTCACAGTGCCAATTTGAGAATAAGTTAATGCATATTCTAGCAAATTAGCAAATAAAACAGGATGAGAATAGTGGGTCCAGAAGGGTTATTAATGAAAAGAACCATGACTTCGGGTTGCTAGGCTCCAGCTTGAGCGTCGCCAACAGGACTAGATATGTCTGGGTAGGGTGGGTGGATGCTGTCTCCATGTTCACAGTCATGTCTGCAAAAATAGAACTGGGATGATGAGAAAAGCCTGAAGGGAAATAAGCTGCTCCTCTACTCTCTCTTTCCTCGTGCATTGCTTCAATTTAGCCTTACTAACCAAGTACCGACCTGCAGAAAGATGAGTGGTGCTTTCTACTCATTAATCACTGAGGTGCTCTTCCAAAGAAACAGCCTGTCAACAAGATACATTTGGAATGATGACAGGAGACCACAGACTATTAATCAGGGGAATAATGTGGACTTTCAGCTGACTTTCAGGGTTTCAGAGGAGAGCACATACAACAAATACCTTTCTTCTAAAGACTCTGGGACCCCCACACTGTTGAATAAATGTCTCTCTGTGTGTGTGTCTCCATCTCTTTCTCTCCTGCTCTGCAACATTTATGAAAAACTTGTGAAAAAATGTGCATGGTTATGGATTCTCAAATCAAGTTTCCCCTGGGTTATTATTCAGATAAACTTAGCAAGAGAATCTTATTGGTGATAACAATTATGATAATGAAAGTAACTTCCAGGCTGAGTGTGGTGGCTCATACCTGTAATCTCAGCACTTTGGGAGGCCGAGGTGGGAGGATTGCTTGAGCCCAGGAGGTTAAGGCTGCAGTGAAACACGATTGCACCACTGCACTCCAGCCTGGGAAACAAGTGAGATTCTGTCTCCAAAAGGAAAGTAACCTCCAATATTTGCATAGGTCGTTATGATTCATACTTGGTTCCCACAAGAATGCTTAGGTACTACATATCCCCATTTTATATATGAGAAAGCTGGCTTAGGCACACGTTGCCAGAATTTGGTAGCAGTTAGCAGAGCCATCCTCAGGAGTGCTAGGTCTATGTGGGACCGGGTCCTTCATCTCCCTCTGCTTTCCTGTCTGCCCTGGCCAGGGAAGAGCATCAAACACAGGCTGTCCATCCTCACTTTGTCTTCACAGGGATGCCAAATGTCTTGTGCTACTAACATACTTTCCACATGTGGAACTCCTTATGGCTCACAGCAGTTGGGAGACAATGGCATTGTTGAGCAACCGGCCATTCTGCTGCTGGTTTCAATAAGCAATGATGAAAAAGGACCCAACAGCTTCTGAGGTCAGCCTCCCAGAAGACAAAGCCTTTGTTCCCAATGTGGAATCAAGTCCTTGAGGACACCAGCTCTGTGTCTGCGCTTCCTTCAGCACCCTGCTCTTTCCCTCTTGCCAAATAGAAACCTTTTGAACTAGTATTTTTCAAAGTACTCAGCAGAACGTTCCAGAAGATGTTAGGCAATGGAATGTGGAGAGGGGTGGTGGGAGGATTTGATGATCAAATGAACTTGAGAAATCCTCTTGAAGATTTATGTGCACACTAGTAGAATAAAGTTTCTGAGGAATTCCACAGTAAAGAACTATTTAATTTGATTTAATGGTTCAGATTGTCTTTTTTTCCCCTCTGAACCCTATCCATGTCTAGTGGAACATTACCCATTATTGAATTGTATAATTATGCAATCCTCCAAAATAATATCAGAGCAAGGCCAGGCACGGTGGCTCGTGCCTGTAATCCCAACACTCTGGAAGGCCAAGGCAGGCAGATAACCTGAGTCAGAAGTTCAAGACCAGCTTGACCAACATGGCAAAACCCAGTCTCTACTAAAAGTACAAAAATTAGCTAGGCATGGTGGTGTGCACCTGTAGTCCCAGCTACTCGGGAGGGTAAGCAGTAGAACTGCTTGAACTGGGAGGCAGAGGTTGCAATGAGCCAAGATTGTGGCATTGCATCCAGCCCGGGCAATAGAGTGAGACTCTGTCTCAAAAAAAAAAAAAAAAAAAAAAAAAAGGAAGACAACATTGATATATCAGAGCATAGAATGGTCTGGAAATGCCTAGGTTCCTGAACATGACCTGGCATACAGTAGGGCTTACAGTTGTTGAATTTTTTTTGGTATAAGTCAATGCACAGTATTTATATAAAAGAATGAAACTATAGTCAATTAAACAACCACGTGCATTTGGCACTGCTATTGCTCAGGGGTTCTCAAATTTTGTTGCAATTAGAATCACCAGAGGGAACTTTAAAATTTTTGATGCCCGTGCTGCACCCTAGACACATTAAATCAGAAATTGTGGGATTGTAGCCAAGGCATCAGTATTTTTAAAGTTCTCCAGGTGAGTTTAATGTGCAGCCAAAGTTGATAACAAAAGGTATGAATAATTACCCAATGGCAAAGAGCAGATATGAGACTGAGAAGAGTTTGGGGGGGCTGTGATATGCACCACTTCAAAACTGTCCATGAATTTATGAAATCCATCCCTGTTAAAACCAAGATAAATGCTAGAGACTTAGCCTATAGTTTTACCATTCTATGCACACGTGTTTCTAATATGCATGCAAATTGGTTTAATTATACACAAAAAGAGTCTGGTTTCTGTAGATTGCAGAAAGCTGAAGATTGGACATTTGTTGCATCATATGGCAATTTGGTTCTAGGTGGACACAACAGGTAACAGTGAAAGACACTGAAGCGTCAACTTGTAAAATGGGGTTTTGCCGATATGGAACACAACTGGTTTATGAACCACTTTCTATGCTGAATACTCTGTAAAATGTTCCCCTTCCAAACTACTAGCCGATCATGGATACATACTAATGGTGGTTGAATGCTAAAGCTCAGGTGATTTTGCTCATCAGGGAAGTCATGAGGAGAGAGGAGGCACTTAAGACGGCCGGGCGCGGTGGCTCAAGCCTGTAATCCCAGCACTTTGGGAGGCCGAGGCGGGTGGATCACGAGGTCAAGAGATCGAGACCATCCTGGTCAACATGGTGAAACCCCGCCTCTACTAAAAATACAAAAAAAATTAGCTGGGCGTTGTGGCGCGCGCCTGTAATCCCAGCTACTCGGGAGGCTGAGGCAGAAGAATTGCCTGAACCCAGGAGGCGGAGGTAGCGGTGAGCCGAGATTGCACCATTGCACTCCAGCCTGGGTAACTCCGTCTCAAAAAAAAAAAAAAAAAAGATGGTGTCATGTCCTGTAGTTTAACTGTGCCTGCAATTAACGCATTTTACCACCAGAGGAGATAAGGAATCAGTCACTTGGAAGCTCCTTAGCGTACAAGCGCCTAAGTACTTCAACTTTTTTGGTTCAAGATAATTCACTCTCCTTCTAAATAATAATCATACATTTTCAAATTTTGAATGAACTATATACTTCCTAAAATAGAAAAATAAGCTATTTTGAAGCAATCTATTTACTTAAAGACCATATCTTAGAAACAGGGGTCAACAAACTTTGTAAGGCAGATACTATATAAATACCTCAGGCTTTGTGAGTCAGATGATTTCTGTTGTAACCACTCAACTTTGCCACGTGGTTGAAAACAGCCGCAGGCAATATGTAAATGAATGAGTACCCTATTTCAAGAAATCTTTAATTATAAAATTAGGCAGTGGGCGGGGTTTGGCCCATGGGCCATCATTTGCTGATCGCTAACTCAAGATTAAGTATTACAGATTCAATTGCCTGCAGTAAAGAGGGCTCTGTAGAGGCCGCGACAAATTAGGGATTTGTCACATATTTTGTTAATAGCCAACTCAGCTCTAACCGATAGTGACCAGGCAGAATGTGAGCCTAGCATGGCCAGATCTTTCTATTTTTCAAAAACAGATGGAAATCTGAATTCTTACATATTTCCCTATTTTTAAATTTTGGCAATTAGTTCAGACACCACCACCACCACCACACACACGTTGGGTACCCAGCAGAACAACTGCACAGACCGCCTTTGCCCCACTGAGCAGCATCTGCTGCAGAGCAGCTTTTAAAAATTAAGCAGTGTGCTGAAGGTCGATGTGGAGATTTCTATCATTGTCTTTCACATAAGTAAAGGGAATCAAAATATTTTACCCCAAAATAGATCTCTTCAACATATTTCCAAATGGCTGCCTCAGAGCTGGCAAGCAAAATGACCTTGCAAAGTTGTCAAAAGAAAATTTGCATCTGTAGACAGTCTCCATTAACACAACCAGGCTCCCGTGCTCTAGCAGAGACTGGGAGTCTGACACCTTTAAGAGGCCGGGCGTGGTGGCTCAAGCCTGTAATCCCAGCACTTTAGGAGGCCCAGGCAGGTGGATCACAAGGTCAAGAGATCGAGACCATCCTGGTCAACATGGTGAAACCCCGTCTCTACTAAAAAATATATACAAAAAATTAGCTGGGCATGGTGGTGCGTGGCTGTAATCCCAGCTACTCGGGAGGCTGAGGCAGGAGAATTGCCTGAACCCAGGAGGCGGAGGTTGCCGTGAGCCGAGATCGCGCCATTGCACTCCAGCCTGGGTAACAAGCGTGTCTCAAAAAAAAAAAGTCTAAAAAGAAACATTGACCTTTGAGGGAGGCTTTATCTATATAACCAAGCCTATTCTTTTCTCCCTCCCTTAAACTGTCCGGCCACTAATCAGTTTTGGGGTGGGCACTGAGTTCTTATTCTTTATTTATTTCCAGATAGTAGATAATCTTCTGTTTTGTGGGGTGGGTCTTCATTCTGAAAGCTCCTGTATAGACACACTAAATTGTATGCCTTTTCTGTTATTAATCAACCTGCCTCATGTCGGTGATTTTTTTTTTAGTGAACCTTCAGAGGGCCAAGCGCCTCTGGCTCCCACATAAACGGTTACTTAGCACTGATTAAGTGGGAGGCACTATTCTAAGTGCCTTGTCTATATTAGCTCATGAATTATCCTCACAACAAACTTGTAAGGTGGGTGCTATTACTGTTTCATCCTGGGCAAAGAGAGGTTGAGTAACTTACCCAGGGTTACACAGCTGAGGTGTGGCAGAGCTGGGATTTGAACCTACGCAGCTCTAAGGTAGAGTCTCTACACATAACCCACTAGGCTGTAACTTATCGGAACGGGATCCAGGCCCCGAGAGAGGGTTCTTGGTTCTTGCACAAGAAAGAATTGAGGGTGAGTTCATGGAGTGAAGTGAAAGTAGGTTTATCAGGAAAGTTAAGGAATAAAGAACGGCTACTCCGCGGGCAGAGCAGAGGCACTGGCTGCTTGACTAAGGACACTTACAGTTATTATTTGATTATATGGTAAAAAGGGGCGGATTATTCATGAGTTTTCTGGGAAAGGGTTGGGCAATTCCCAGAACTGAGGGCTCCTCCCCTTTTTAGATCATATAGGGTAACTTCTGGATGTTGCCACAAAGTCTGTAGCCTGTCATGGTGCCGGTGAGAGTGTCTTTTAGCATGCTAATCATTATTAGTGAATAAGGAGCAGTGAGGACAACCAGAGGTCACCCTTTTTTTTTTTTTTTTTGAGTCTTGCCCTGTCACCAGGCTGGAGTGCTGGGCTCACTACAATCTCTGCCTCCTGGGTGTAAGTGATTCTCCTGCCTCAGCCTCCCAACTAGCTGGGATTACAGGCACATGCCACCCCCTAGTAGCTGGGATTACAGGTGCCCGCCACCATGCCCCGCTAGTTTTTTGTATCTTTAGTAGAGACGGGTTTCACCATATTGGTCAGGCTTGTCTCAAACTCCTGACCTCTGACCTCATGATCCACCCACCTCAGCCTCCTGAAGTGCTGGGGTTACAGGCCTGAGCCACCACACCCAGCCCAGGGGTCACTTTTATTGCCATCTTGGTTTTGGTGAGGTTTGGCCAGCTTCTTCACTGCCTGCTGCTTTATCAGGACCTGTACCTTGTGCTGACCTCCTGTCTCATCCTGTGACTTAGAATGCCTCACCTCCTGGGAATGCAGCCCAGTAGGTCTCAGCCTCATTATACCCAGCCCCTACTCAAGATGGAGTCGCTCTGGTTCCAACACCTCTGACATAATTGTCTCCCTTCCAGGGCTGCTGTCTACTCTTAATCTTGCACTAAACTATAGCGATAGAGAGAGAAAAGGAGACTCCTCTCTCGCTTGTAACTGGACTTGGGCCTCAGGGTCAAGGTTTCTTCCAAGTCAACTTATCTTCCCATCCCACGTGTGGACTTTGTGGCTTTGGGGAACGTCGTGTCTGAGATGACCACATCACCTATGGGAAGGCAAACCCCCAAGCAAACGTCAAGTTGAAGGTTTGCATCATCCCATCTCTTCTGTGTTTATATTTTATTGTAATTATTTTTCGGTAAAGCCTACTGCTCTGGAATTTGTATTAATTCTACATACAGTATTTAGTTTAATTATCCATCTTCCTTTTCTAATTTGTTCTAGCAAGCCCCAAGAAAATGACTTCGGGTATGTGTGGGAAGATTTCTTTCTTAAAGCTACAGTAACCGAATGTAGGGAAAGGCCATCAAACAAATTCAATTCCTTTCAAAGGACAGTAAGAATTCTTGTCTAAGTTTGCTCAGTTGAAATCACGGTTTTGAAAGAGAAGTGGACATTTTTTTCTCCAGCAAACTTAAAAGAAATGACAAATTAGGTACTTGTGTCACTGCTAAAATGCAGCTATGAGTTTTGCTGCTGATTCTGGAAGATATTCTGAAAAGTAATTTCAGCAGCAAAGGAAATGCAGGAGGCAAAACAAATGAGAGTCCCCTTTTTCCAAAACTGCGAACACCTCTGGGAGACCAGTGAAGCTCTCAGTCATCCGCAACTTAATATCCAGTACTTTAGGCAGCGCTGTTTTCCTTCTAATGCCTGCAGAAGCTAGACTCTGCCGGGAAAGGACAGTTTGAGAATTCTGGGGTCACGTGAGGCTTATGGTGATAATGGATGTAGTTTTGTAACAGAAACAGGGTTTGCCTGGAACTGTCCCAGTTTCAAAACTGAAAGTCTTGTATCCCAGGAATGCCCTCCGTTCCAGGCAAACCAGGACACTGAATGACCCTAAGGTCACAGGCAGCGTTTGTGATTGCCTGTCTAGTTCGTGCTCTGACTTCCCTCCCCGCTTCACTGTCTTCAATGCTACTTACAGGTGTGACCCCACAGGCTCTGAATACCCTCCTCAGTGTTTTCCAAACCTCCTTGATTGTAGGAATCACCCGAGGGCTTGCCAAACCTGGATTCCCAGGCTCCACTTTTGGTAATTCTCATCCAGAGGTCTCATTTGAAGTAGGTCCTGAGAGTCGGTAGATTCACCAAAGCCAGGGGAGTCTTATGATTGGAGAAGTTTGGGAAGCGCTGATTAACCTACGTTCAAGGGGTATGAAAGCAGCTCTAGTTCAAGAACCGGGAGACTCAGCACACTCCACACTCACCTGCCCCGTCTGGTTTGGCCCCTGGGACAGACAGAGGTGTTCAAACCAGAACAACTTCATCTGAATAGGGGCTGGGTCAAATGAGGATGAGACCTGCCAGGCTGCATTCCTAAGAGGTTAGACTTATTCACAGCATGAGTTAGAAGGTCAGCACAAGACACAGGACATAAAGACACTGCTGAGAAACAGGATGTGGTCAAGAAGCCAAACAAAACCCACCACAACCAAGATGGCAACAAAAGTGACCACTGGTCATTCTCTCTGCTCATTATAATGCATTAACATGATAAGAGACACACCCACCAGCACTGTAACAGTTTACAAACCCATGACAATGTCTGGAAGTTACCCTATATGGTCTAAAAAGGGGAGGAACCGGCCCAGGGCAGTGGTTCAGGCCCATAATCCCAGCACTTTGGGAGGCCAAGGTGAGAGGGTCACTTGAGATCAGGAGTTCGAGACCAGCCTGGCCAATATGGCAAAACTCTGTCTCTATTAAAAGTACAAAAAATAGCTGGAAGAATCGTCAGTTCCAGCAGAAACCCCTGCCCCTTTCCAGGAAAACTCATGAATAATCCACCCCTTGTATAACATATAATCAAGAAATAATTATAAATATTGCCAGTTAGCTCTCGGGGCCACTCTGGCTACGGAGTAGCCATTCTTTTATTCCTTTACTTTCTTAATCAACTTGCATTCACTTTATGAACTCCCCCTGAATTCTTTCTTGCACGAGATCCAAGAACCCTTTCTGGGATCTAGTGATTGGGACCCCTTCCCACTAAGAGCATTGCTAGCAACCAGGTTTCCAGGGGGGTCCCCACATGCTTAGGAACTGACCCCTGAATCTTTATCCACGGGCTGACCTTTCCTGCCTGTGGACAGAGGTCTCTGGTTCTTCCTGCTTTTCTGAATGTCTGGAAATAGTTTATTCTGAGAGTTGCCATGTTCTGTCCCTATACTCTAATGGAGCCTACCGCTCTCAAGGTCATTGCCCTGTGCATGTAACTGCCACATCTCACCTCTGCCAGCAGCTGGGGGTTGCTTCTCTGTGGGTCTCCACTGTTCCTGGCCTCTCCTAGCTTCTCCCGTAGACTGTGTTTAATGCTTTTCTATCCAAACGTTTTAAGAGATTCACCACAATGAGAAAGATGCAAAAGGCAGGGATACTGCCTAAGGGTGTGAGCCCCTGAGCTGACTACTGAGGTTGAACTCCAGTCATGTTATTTTGGGCCTCAGTTACTTAACCTGTAAAATGGGGATAATCACAGTATTGATTTAATTACATTGTTGGCAGGGTTAAATGAGAAGATATCTATCTGTAAAGCATTTAGCATGTGCCTGATGCCTCTGAAACTGTAAATGTTAGCTATCATTCTCATTCTTATTGTTACTAGTGCTCTTATCGTCATTAATTGTTATTATTATTTTTACTAGGAAGTAGGAGAAGGATATAGAAGATAGGGCAGGAGAAGATCCTTTATCTTTTTAAAAATTTTGCCATAGAGGCTGAGTGCAGTGGCTCATGCCTATAATCCCAGCACTTTGGGAAGTTGAGGCAGGAGGATCACCTAAGCCCAGGAGTTTGAGAACAGCCTAAGCAACATAGAGAGACCCCCATCTCTACAAAGAGTCAAAAAATTAGCCAGGCATGGTGGCATGTACCTGTAGTCCCAGCTACTTGGGAGGCCGAGGTGGGAGGATTGCTTGAGCCCAGGAAGTCAAGCCTGCAGTGAGCCATGACCACATCACTGCATTCCAGCCTGGGCCACAGAGTAAGACCCTGTCTCAAAAAACAAACAAATGGCCAGGTGCAGCGGCTCACACCTGTAATCTTACGTTGGAAATAGATGCTTGCTGCCGCAAAGAAAAATTAGCACTGAGACAAAGGATCTTTCGGCAACACGATTTTTACTTCCTGCATTGCAGGAAGGGTACTCTCATTAGCCATCTTGCCACAAGAATACAATGAACAAAGGAAAACACACACATTTGTTCTTTATGCATTTGGAGTCTTCCTTACTGCTGTGTGATCTCTGTTGGCTGGAGCAAGAACTCACAATCTAAACTAAAACCCGATTAGCTAACAACTTAAAACTTTTCTAAACAGGTAAAAGTAGTGGAGAGCTGGGACATGCCCGTGAGCACATCCAGCACAGATATCTTGGTTAAAGTACAAGGACACAGAACGTACTATGTGCCTGTAAGCATGGCATGTTTGACAGCTACATAGGATAGAGTGTCACAAAGTTATTAGCACACTTATGATGTATTCTTTAACAAGAAAGGAAATTTTAAAAAGGAATTTTTCTACTTCCCACATCTTAGCACTTTGGGAGACTGAGGCAGGCAGATCATTAAGATCAGAATTTCAAGACCAGCCTGGCCAACACGGTGAAACCTCATCTCTACTAAAATTACAAAAATTAGCTGGGCGTGTGGTGGCATATTCCCGTGGTTTCAGTTACTTGGGAGGCTGAGGCATGAGAATCGCTTAAACCTGGGAGGCGGAGGCTGCAGTGAGCCAAGATCACACCACTGCATTCTTGCCTAGGTGACAGAGTGAGACTCTGTCTTAAAAAAAGAAAAAAAGAAGCCAACAAAAATTTGCCAGGGGCTTTCTCTGTACCTTGGAATTTGAAAGAGACATCTGCTCTTCTTCATCTGCTCATCCTTCCTCACCATACCAAAAGATTACAGCAGCAGGAGTTTCAAAATGAACATCAGGATATGTGACATGACCATCGAGTGGGAAGAATTTAATTTCCAAACACTTCTAGAAAATTCCAGTGATACTCTCATGCATTTGATTTTTGCTTAGAGTTCGAAGAATGTAAGCTAAGATTACTTAGTATAGCTACATTGGAAGTATGGGCGTTTTGTGGGATGGTCTACAAATCCAGCCTCCCTATATGTTGTGAAATCCTAATAGCCAACTCACATCTGAATTTTAGGAATATAATCCATTGCTATGACAACCATTACTGATATCACGTTTGGCCCGACTCAGTGCATTGGAGTACTCTCCAAAGGGAAACACATTTACATGAATCAATTTATCTTTCATCTCATATTAAAGAAGCCAATCAGATGATTTTGCCCAGCAGATCTATTATTAAAGAAACAAGTTTGCCTTTTAGCTCCTACCTACAGATTTACAGGATTCATCTTATTTATAATACTAATATGAAAAGCAAGGTCTTCTGCAGATGAAAGAAGGCCAATTACTTCAGCAGTACACTTCAGACAGGTACATCCATAGGCCAGCAGTGACTAGTTTTCCAGAGTCCTCTCTGCATGGAAGGTTAGAACAGAGGAAATTCCAATTGCACTCTCAATTCAGTAGCCACGCAGTGCTCCAAAGCATGGTTTTCAGCAATGCATATTTTTGACTCTAGGACTTTTGCATGCAACATCTCGAGCTTTCCAGCAGAGGCCATGTTACCAGTGGTGGAATTCATACAAATCTGCAGCAAACTCGATCCTTGTCTTCTTAGAGGAAAGAATTTGGCTGAGGGGCAGAAGTAGGTTTAAAGCAAAGGGAAAGACTGTGGCAAGTTTTAGAGCAGGAATGAGTTTATTAAAATGTTTTGCTGGGCGCAGTGAGTCACGCCTATAATCCCAGCACTTTGGGAGGCCGAGGCGGGTAGATCACAAGGTCAAGAGATCGAGACCATCCTGGTCAACATGGTGAAATCCTGTCTCTACTAAAAATACAAAAAAAATTAGCTGGGCATGGTGGTGTGTGCCTGTAATCCCAGCTACTCAGGAGGCTGAGGCAGGAGAATTGCCTGAACCCAGGAGGCAGAGGTTGCCGTGAGCCGAGATTGCGCCATTGCACTCCAGCCTGGGTAACATGAGCTAAACTCCGTCTCAAAAAATAAAAAAAGAAAATAAAATGTTTGAGAGAAGAAGCAAAAGGAAGCAAAGGACATTTGAAAGAGGGCCAAGCTGGCCACTTGAGAGGCCAGCTGCCCCATTCAGCCTTTGACCTGGGGATTTATACACTGGCATGATTTGGGGGTTTTCTTTTCTCCTCCCTTGATCCTCCCCTTGGGGCAGCCCGTTGCTCAACCACCACATGCACAGTGTTGCTCAGCACTTGGGAGGGTGACTGCATGCATAGTTTTTTTTACTGAGGTTGTACGCATGCTCTCTAGGGGCAATTTTCCCTTACTGGTCGACGGTCCCCAGATGAAGATCATATACCCACTACTTTGCCTCCTAGTGTGGATCCTTGAGCCCACTTGTCCTGAAATCTTGCTGAGAAGCTGCTGAGCATCAGCTCCAGGTATTTTCTACCTATGGGGAGCCTAGCTTTGCCTGGTGCTGGCAGCGACCAATTATCATTTCAGAGAGATAGTTTAACAACCGCCTAATCATCACCTGATGGTCTCCTGACACTCCTGGGGTGCCCTTTCCTGCCCTACTCACATCTGCCTACCTAAAAGTAGAAACGTTCTAACACCACATCGTGTAGTTTTCGCGTGGCAGCTAACTTTGCATAGGCATTACAGATTTAGATGGGCAGAGCTCCACCTATGATTTTTGTCTGAGACATTAAGGTTAGTAAAGGAGGTCAGATGTTTCCCCTCCCCTGGGACTCCCATGAACTCAAAATCTCACAGACGTTTCATCAAAATGACAGGCAATGTTATTTTGATTAGAGATGTGCTTCTTTAAGGAGAAGTGAAAGCATCTTAGCTTCAGGAGTGATATGACTGTGTGCCCTTGACCACGTTTCATGGCATGGAAACAAAGAGACCACTCGCTTCAAGGCAGTGAGACATAGCTCTGTTGGGGTCCGTGTTACTGCTGAGAATCCTTTAAAAGCTGAGCATGTTGGCTCACGCCTGTAATCCCAACAATTCAGGAGGGTGAGGTGGGAGGTTTGCTTGACTAGAGGAATTTGAGACCAGCCTGGGCATCTTAGTGAGAACCCCATCTCTCCAAGAGCTAAAAAATTAGCCCGACATGGGGACTCCCACCTGTTGTCCCAGCCACTTAAGACACTGAGTGGGAGATTGCTTGACCCCAGGAAATTGAGGCTCCAGTGAGCTGTGATTGTGCCACTGCACTCTAGCCTGGGTAACAGAGTGAGACTCTGGCTAAAACAAAACAAAACAAAACAAAACAAAAACTTGCTTGTTTGGGTGCCTTTTGTGCCGTTCACTCAGATGCTGTCCACCCTGGCCTCCTTCTCCTTGGCAGTCCTAACCAGTACCATAGCACTTTAGTATGGAAGGCATGTTCGTGCAGTGTCCACCGCTAAACCAGAACCTTCTTGAAAGACTGTGAGCTGTCCTTTTCATCTCTCATTGCTCCTATAATTCCAGTGGCTGGCCAGATGTGGTGTCTCACACCTGTAATCCCAGCACTTTGGGAGGCTGAGGTGGTCGGATCACCTGAGGTCAGGAGTTCGAGACCAGCCTGGCCAACATGGTGAAACCCCGTCTCTACCAAAAATACAAATATTAGCTGGGCATGGTGGTGCGTGCCTGTAATTCCAGCTACTTAGGAGTCTGAGGAAGGAGAATAGCTTGAACCCAGGAGGCAGAGGTTGTAGTCAGCCAAGATCATGCCACTGCACTCCAGTCTGGGCAACAAGAGAAAGACTCTGTCTCTAAAAATAAGAGTAATTATTCTAGTGGTGGATGAAGATGAAGATGAAGATGATGATGATGATGATGACAGGTTAGCAGCAATAGTAGCTAACATTCATGGGCTCCCAAAGCTGATGCTCAGCTGTTTTCACTGAATTTCTCACTTCATCCTCACAAGAATGCTTTGTGGTACAGAGGAAGAGGCTGAGGCTGAGAAAGGCTAAATGGCTTGTTAAGGTTGCTGTGGGGTTGAATAGTATCTCCCCAGTATTCATGTCTACCCAGAACCTGTGAATGTGACCTTATTTGGAAATAGGATCTTTATTAAATTTAAGATAAAGTCATACTAGGTTAGGTTGAGCCTGAGACCAATGACTGATGTCCTTAGAAAAAGAGGAAAATGTGGACACAGAGACACAGAAGATGCACATGGGTTAGGAGGCCATGTGAAGACAGAGGCGGAGATTGAAGTGATGTTGCCACAAGCCAGGGAATGTCAGGGATTGCTGGCAACCACCAGGAGCTAGAAGAAAGACGTGAAACAGATCCTTTCTCTAAACCCCCAGAAAGAACCAACCCCAAGGACACCTTGATTCTGGCCTTCTAACCTCCAGAACTGTTAGAGAATGAATTTCTGTTGTCTTAAGCCACTCAGTTTGTCACAACTTGTTACAGCAGTCCTACCTGACTGATAATAGTAGTTTCTTAGATACTTGATTGACTAAACTGACTTGGGTGGTGTATTAGTCCATTCTCAGGCTGCTAATAAAGACATACCCCAGACTGGGTAACTTATAAAGGAAAGAAGTTCAGGGCTGGGGAGACCTCAGGAAACTTTCAATGAAGGTAGAGGAGAAGCAAACACATCCTCCTTCACATGGTGGCAGCAAGGAGCAGTGCAGATTAAAGTCGGGGGAAAAGCTCCTTATGAAACCATCAGATCTTGTGAGAACACACTATCATGAGAACAGCATGAAATAACAGTCCCCGGCCGGGCGCGGTGGCTCACGCCTGTGATCCCAGCACTTTGGGAGGCCGAGGCGGGTGGATCACGAGGTCAACAGATCGAGACCATCCTGGTCAATATGGTGAAACCCCATCTCTACTAAATACACAAAAAATAAGCTGGGCATGGTGGCGCGTGCCTGTAATCCCAGCTACTCAGGAGGCTGAGGCAGGAGAATTGCCTGAACCCAGGAGGCGGAGGTTGCGGTGAGCCGAGATCGCGCCATTGCACTCCAGCCTGGGTAACAAAAGCGAAACTCCGTCTCAAAAAAAAAGAAATAACAGTCCCCATGATTCAAATATCTCCTCCCTCCCATGACACGTGGAAATTATGTGAACTACAGTTCAAGATGAGATTTGGGGCTGGGCACAGTGGCTCATTCCTGTAATCCCAGCACTTTGAGAGGCCAAGGCAGGCAAATCACTGGAGGTCAGGAGTTCAAGACCAGCCTGGCCAACATGGGGAAACCCCATCTTTTCTAAAAATATAAAAAATTGCTGGCTGTGGTGGCACAGGCCTATAGGTCCAGCTACTTGGGAAGCTGAGGCAGGAAAATTGCTTGAACCTGGTAAGTGGAGGTTGCAGGGAGCAGAGATTGTGCCATTGCACTCCAGCCTGGGTGACAGAGTGAGAGTTTGTCTCTAAAAAAAAAAAAAAAGACGAGATTTGGGTGGGGACACAACCAAATCATATCAGGTAGTGACTTAAACCAACCTATGACTCAGTTCCCTCATCTGAGAGATCTAGATGGCACTGATTGCTATGAGAACCCAGTGTAATAATGTAACTGCTCAATGGGTTCTCCTTACCTACTGCCTTAGACAGAGCTGATTTATTAAGAGAGGGAATTGCAATAGAGAAAGATTTTAATTCATGCAGAGCTAGCTATGTGGAATTTTGTTATTTCGCAAATCGGTCTTCCTGCGAATTTGGGAACTGGAATTTTTAAGTATAATTTGGTGGGTAGGAGGCCAGTGATTGGGAGTGCTGATTATTTGGGTTGGAAATTAAATCAAAGGGAATTGAAGTGTCCTTTTGCACTGAGTCAGTTCCTGGCTGGGGGCCACAAGACCAGATGAGCCAGCTTATTGATCTGATGGTGCCAGCTGACCCGTGGAGTACAGGATCTGCAAAATATTTCAAGCACTGATCTTGGGTTTTACAATAGTGACATTATACTCAGGAGCATTTTGGGAGGTTCAGAATTTGCAGCCTCCAGCAGCATGACTCCTAACCCATAATTTCTAATCTTGTGGCTAATTTGCTTGTAAACGCAGTCTAGTCCCCAGGCAGGAAGGGGACTTATTTTGGGAAAGGGCTGTTACTGCTTTTGTTTTACAGTTAAACTATAAACTAAGTTCCTTCAAACTTAGTTTGGCCTGTGCCCAGGGATGAACAAGGACTGCTTGGGAGGCTAGAAGCAAGATGGAGTTGGTTAGGGCAGATCTCTTTCACTGTAATGATTTCGTCAGTTATAGTTTTTGCAAAGGTGTTTTCAGTAACACTTTCACCACAACATAATCTTTGGCCCTCGGTGCTTTGTTGTTTTAAAGGACTTCATAAAGTACAGCAATGCTTGCGTTTGAATATGCACAGAACCCTTCTGGAAGCATCATCCACAGGGAACTGGTAGAGGAGGCTGTCTGTGTAACTGCCCAGTGGATTCTTCCTGCCCACTGCACAGACAAAACCAACTCACTGAGACCAGGGGATTGGAATAAAGAGTTTAGTAGGCACGAGGCTGGCCATGCCATGTGGGAGACAGAGTTATTACTCAAGTTGATCTCTCAGAAGATTCAGAGGCTAGGATTCTTCAAGGAGAGTTTGTCAGGCCAGGGAGTCTGCTTCTGGGTGAAATCATGACGGGTGGGCAGGGGCCTGTAGGTTTGGGTGGAGTTATTGCCAAACTGCAAAAACCTGAAAAGACATCTCAAAAGGCCAGTCTTAGGTTCCACAATAGAGATGTTATCTGCAGGAGTAATCCCGGAAGTTGCAAATCTTGTGATCACCAGAATAATGGCTGGTAATCATTTATGTCTGTACCTTAGCAGAATTCAGGCTCTTCACATCCTCCCAGTGGCATTTCATTCTCTTTACAAAGGCGATTAATTTTGGAGAAGGGCTATTACCATTTAAACTATAAACCAAATGTCTCCCAAAGTTAGCTCGGCACAAGCCCAGGAATAATGAAGCGCAATTTGGAGGTTAAAGCAAGATGGGGGTTGGTTAGATCAGATCTCTTTCACTGTCATAATTTTCTCACTGTTGTAATTTTTGCAAAGGCAGTTTCATCTGGGGATGGGAACTGGGGATGGGAGTCAGGTGTGGGCAAGGGTGTAGTCTTTACTGTTTACCTTTTGTATTATTGAGTTGGGTAACGTATTCATGCAGCACCTATTTTAAAAAGTAAAAATTTAAGTTATAAAGAGCTATGTGGCTCACTTTCCTCTTCCTCTTTCTGTTTCTCTGTGTTGCTGTGTCTTTGGTAAAGCAGAGGGTAGAGGACATCATGGGTGAATGAGCCGTGGGGTGGGGCCCAGGACAAGGATGAGCATTCCAGATCAAGAGTGGAGTGCCTGTCTCCCACACAGAACTCCCACTCCCTGCTCAGAGGCCACCTGCTGATACCTTCACTGTGCATGTCAGGCACAGTAAGTTCCCCCCATGCCCCGATATAGTCAGACTAGTCAGACGGCCAATCATTTGTCAAGTAGTTCATACAGTATTATGTCAAGTGCCTGGGCCAGTTTCTGCCCACAGCAAGTGCTCAGCTGAAATGCACTGAGGTACACGGCTGGAGCCCTACCCAGATTCTTATTGGATGCAGGCTTCCTCCCTCCCCTTGTTAGGCTGAGCTCCAGGCAACTTTTCCAAGGGGGATACAGCTGTGGGGAGAGGCAGGCATGCCTACAGGTCCCAGAAATGATTCTGTCTTCTCTTCCATCCCTCTTAGGCCAATCTTTCAGAATCTATGAGATATCAAGCAATGTAATCAAATCAGGAATCAGTTATGTGCATTGTGGGCCTGAAATAACAAAGGCAGCTTAGTGAGGAACGGAAAGGAGGAATGGAATCTGATTCCAACAAGTTAAGGTGGAACTGAGCTTGCCTTGGCCTCGCCCACCTTCCCACCTTGCCTTTCACCAGAAAAATCATGCAATTTCCCCTTCTCTCTGATGTGTACTAATGTATGGTATTTGCATTGGATAAAATTGCCATGCAGGAATTTGGGATGCTGGTCTCTGAGGAGGCAGATGTCCTGTGAGGAGGTTAGCATGAACCTGTGCGGGGGGACGGCGCCCACTGCCAGGGATCTGCAGCTGAGACTGCTCTGGCGGTGTTTCCCTCATGCTGGCATCTGGATGGACTGGAACTGTCACCACCCAGTGGGTTCACCTTGCCCACTGCCTAGGCAGAGCCAATTTATCAAGATTGGAAATTGCAATAGAGAAAGAGTAATTCACACAGAGTCATCTGTGGGGAAGTCCAGGTTTTTTTATTATAACTCAAATCCGTCTTCCCCAGCATTCCGGGATCAGATTTTAAAGACATCTTGGTGGCTGGGTGAGGTGGCTCATGCCTGTAATCCTAGCTCTTTGGAAGGCCGAGGTAGGTACATTACCTGACGTCAGGACTTCAACACTAGTCTGGCCAACATGAAGAAGCCCTGTCTCTACTAAAGATACAAAAGTTAGCCAGGCATGGTGGCACGCGCCTGCAGTCCCAGCTACTTGGGAGGCTGAGACTGGAGAATTGCTGGATCCCTGGAGGCAGAGGTTGCAGTGAGCAAGGTGGCACCACTGCACACCAGCCTGGGCTACAGAGCTAGGCTCTGTCTCAAAATAAATACATAAATAAAATAAAAACAACTTGGTGGGTGGGAGGGAACCAGTGAGATGGAAGTGCTAATTGGTCAGGTGAAATCATAGGGAACTGAAGTGGTCCTCTTAGCCTGAGTCAGTTCCTGGGAGGGGCCACATGATCACATGAGCTAGTTTATTGATCTGGGTGGGGCCAGCTGATCCATCGAGGGCAGGGTCTGCAAAATAGCTCAAGCACTGATCTTAGAAGCCGTTTGGAAAGGGTCAGGATCTTGTAGCCTCCAGCTGCATGACTCCTATGCTGTAATTTCTAATCTTGTGGCTAATGTTAGTCTTACAAAGGCAGTGTAAGGAGGCAACAGGAGGCTTGTTTGGGGAAAGGGCTGTTATCATCTTTGTTTTAAACTATAAACTAAGTTCCTCCCAAAATTAGTTGTGCCTGTGTCCAGGAATGAAAACGGACAGCTTAGAAGTTTAGAAGCGAGATGGAATTGGTTAGGTCAGATCTCTCTCACTGTTTAAGTCACAATTTTGCAATGGCAGTTTCAGAAGCACTAACCTTATTTTGACTCACAAATTTCTATCTGCTTTTCTGCTTTGCCCTCTCCCTTAGCTATCATTTTTTCCCAAGATACTCATTTTGACTCAGAAGAAAATTGCAATAGGGAAGAAATCAAATCTTCACCTTACTGAGAGGCAAACAGGAGTCGGAGAGGTTTGAAAGTGTTCTCAATTAGAGGACAGAAAAAAGTGTGACAGGCAGGCCATTGGGAAATGCTTTTCATTTGTTCAGTCACATCTGAAAGAACCAATCTGTAAGAAATACTAAACGGGTATTGGTATGGATTTAGACAAAGGCTACCGATATAAACATGAACACGCATGTGTCTGCAGTTCTGAGCTGGAAGACACAGCTGTTGATTAAGGGCTCAGTCCCCTAGGGCAGAGATGCCCAGTCCGGTTAGACTGGATTGAGAGTCCCTTATGGATTGAATCCACTGTGCTTGGGCCACCTGTCTGCTTGTGATAAGAGAGAAGCCCAGGAAGGCAGACGAATCGTCAAATCATTGGTTTGCCTGGTTAGACAAGCATCAGGAGTGGTTTTCCAAATGGAGCTGTATGGTTTTACTTCCCCCATGTAATGATGGAAAATCATGTTATTTGCTTCGTACTAATATATGTAGGTCTGCATATGTGTAAAACCTCATTGAATCTTCTCTGCCAGCTAACCAGGTGTTAATTACCATTGACATCATCCCCACTTCACAAATTAGCCCACCACAGTCTACAGAGATTTAGCATCAGGTTATAATGATTGGTTTTTTTGAACCGAGATAGTCTGGAGTCAGGAGGCTATGCAGATTAATCCAGTGGGCTATTTATCACTGAAATAGAACTCACTCGTACATTCCAGAAGTATTTGCTGAGATTCTGAGTGCTGGGTGTCATTCATGGTACAGGGTGTTGGGGAGGGAAGATGAGAGACCCAAGTGTGAATAATGCTCAGCTCTGGCCTCTGGGAGCCCACCTGCTGCTGGGGAAGACAGACAATGAAAAAATAATGGGTAGGGCAGGGAGAGCGGGGTGGGATCGCTGGATTCTCATCATTCACCTTTGGGGTAATGGTATCAAGGAAAGGCTTCCTGAAGGAGGTGGATCTCAAAGGATGAAGGGGGTACTGGTGGGCAAAGCACTGGGGATGAATATGCATGTGGTGGAAGGTATGTGCACATGCATGTGTGTACGTGTGTGGTGTGTGTGTATAGTATGTTAGGTATGTGGGTGTTTATGTGTATGTCTCTGCATGTGGGTGTTTGTGTATATGTATATGTGAGGTGTGAGAGAGGGTGTGTGTGTGTAGCTGTGGAAAAAGTCTACAAACAAATCTTTATGCCAGTAGAAAGAAGACTTAAAATGTATGAAATGTACCAAACACATAGACATGATAAATATTTGGGTGATGGAAACCCTAAATGCCCTGACTTGATCATTATCATCTATCCATGTAACAAATTTTCACATGTACCCTGTAAATACATTCAGATATAATGCATCTATCAACCAGTCAATAATAGAAGGGTTGTGGAGAAGCAGGAGTCCAGGAGCTTGATTGTGGAGAAGCAGGTTGTATTGGGATGTTAACTTTTGTGTGAAATTCGTATCAGGAAGATACAGACAGCGATTTTTCCATCTCTGATAATGACAGCTCTGAGCACCTGGAGGGAGGAAGGCCATAAAGTGATCTCTGAAAATGAGTAGAGGGCTGAGAAGACAAGCAGAATGAGATGGTTAAAGAGGACTATTTAGCCTTCATTGGGGCCCAAGGTTCTAAAGGGCTAGTTAGGGAGAATGTGCTGAGGCTCTCCTTGCAAACAGACCTGATTCAGGGGAAGCTCCCAGAGCCCCAGGGTTGGAGGCAGCAGGCAAGGTGGCCCTGGTGGCAGCAGTCTTGAGTTCCAATCCTGCTCTCTCCGCCTGTGTGACAATGTGATCTGGGGTAAGTCATTTACCATTTCTGAGCCTCACTTTGCTCACCTGTGAAGTGAAGGCAAAGGCCTGGCCTGCAGGAATGTTAGGAAGATAACAGGAACTAAAAATATGTGTACCTAGTAGTGCCTTGTGGGCACTCCACAGGGGAGCTCTCTTTAGGTTCTTAAGTCAGAGCCATAGGAGGGTGGTTTTTCCAGGCACAATCAAATACAGGGTCAAAGCATGAAATTCCAACACACTGAGCTTTAAAGATCAAACTTGCTGTGATTAGCAATTCATAAGCCAGGCGGTGTCCAGTCTCTAACATAGACTGTCAGGAATGGCAGAACAGTGGATGTTTGTAAGGCACCTGAGCAGGAACAAGGAAAATAGCGCAGTGCAAAAGCAGACTGGGCAACATCAGGTGCCTTTGGGTTATTTTCCTTGTATGGGTAAAAGCAGGTGGGACTGCCTTAATACTGGCTTAGGTGACTGGGCTTCTTTTGACTAGTTGCTGTGAATCTCCTGGGGCTTTTTTTTTTTTTTTTAACTGGCTTGTTTGGGGTTTTTCTGTTTTTTAAAATTTCAGCTTGTTTATATGGCCCTTTTGAATGACTGAATTTTGCATTTTGGTTTGGTCTGTTGGGGCTTAGTGCAGGCAAACAGTGGCCCCTCATAGATTTCATTTAAGGATAGAATAATACAGAGGAAATCTGCCCCCCAGGCAAATGGAGACAGTATATGAATTGTTATTTAAAGGAGCACCTAAATATCTTAGTATGAATGCTTTCTGTTTAGAATACAATTTCAGAGAGAACCAAATCACACACTAGAGGCACCATAGGTGGTCTCCAGTGCTCTGTGGGTGTTAAGACATTCTTAAAAGAAATGAATTTTAATTAACTTTAACTTAAATATATCGAGAAATTTCAAAGGCTGGTAGGAACTTAAATATACCTAGAAATTTCAAAGGATGGTAGTAGTTCAGAGGCACATTGTAAATTTTAATACATTTAATTTTATTTATTTATTTTCTTTTTAAGATCAAGTCTCACTCTGCCGCCTGAGCTGGAGTATAGTGGTGCGATCTGGCTCATTGCAACCTCTGTCTCCCAAGTTCAAGTGATTCTCCCACATCAGCCTCCTGAGTAGCTGGGATTACAGGCACCCACCAACATGCCTATCTAATTTTTTCTATTTTTGTAGAGATGGGGTTTCACCATTTTGTCCAGGCTGGTCTTGAACTCCTGACCGCAGGTGATCCTCCTGCTTTGGCCTCCCAAAGTGCTGGGATTACAGGTGTGAGCCACTGTGCCCACTGTATATAAATTTTAATACATTTTATAGTAAAGATCGCACACTTGGACATAGAGTATGGAAAGACAGACATTGTGAACTTGGAAGGGAGGGAGAGTTGGAGCCCAGTGAGAGATGAAAAATTACTTAATGTACATTACTCAAATGATGGCTCCACTAAAAGCCCAGACTACACCACGAGGCCATATATCCATGTAACAATACAATAAAATAAAAAGTAAAGATCCACCATGTTCCCCTCCCCTATGTTTAAAAAATGTTAAATAGTTTAGGCATCATTATTCTTCAGTCTTAGGGTAATGCGATTTGAGATGTTTGATGCACAACATGAATGAGAATACCCCTCATTCACCTAAAATCTATTTAATACAGATTTCATGAGAAGAATGACATTTCTTCTAACCATTTCTTGATTTGTTACTTTGAAGTAAGACAGTAAACCCTACTTTCTGGGATGGGGTTGAAATTGGACAATACTGTGGGAAATTTGGTGTGTTTTAAAAGGCTGTTTGAAAATGATCTTCTCTCCCAGAGGAAGAATGGCTTGGAGCATCTTGTATGAATTGTAGCTTGTGCACTGTAATTGCAAGGGTCGTGCTAACTGGAAGAGTGACAGTGCTTTATGATAGGATGTGCATGACAATTCATTTCATAGAGAATCAGACTGAGGTATGCGAAACAGTTTGGTATTTCAGCATTCTTGGTTAAACATATTCCCTGGACAAAATGATTAATTAGGCCAAGAAGATCAAGAAACGGTATCAGTTATCTATTGCTACGTAACAATACGTCCCAATATTTAGCAGCTTAAGGTAACAGACGTTTATTATTTTGTGCAACTTTTGAAAGTCAGGTGTCTTTTTGGCTGGGTGGTTCTGGTCCAGTGTCTGTCATGAGATGTAGCTGAGATGTTGATGTCACCCGGAGCTACAGGCATCTGGGGGTGTGCCTGGGGCTGGAAGACCCACTTCCAAACTCATTCAGGTGTCTGTTGGCTGGATACCTCTCCCACCTTACCACATGGCCCTATCCATAGGACTGCTCGTAACATGACAAGTGGCTAATCCAAGAGCAAATGATTTGAGAGACAGTCACCAAGACAGAAGTCACAATGCCTTTATAAGCTAATCTTGGAAATGATACACCATCACCTCTGCTGTACTCTGCTGTCACACAGACCAACCCAACTACTGTGGTCAGGGACTGCCCAAGGGTATGAATACCAGAAGGTGGGGGCGGGGGGGGCTTTGCTTCTGGGAAGCAAAAAGTGATGGTGAATCACTCCGAAGTGTGGCTGAGTCACTTATGACTTGTGTGGCTTTAGTCAAGTTACTCAAACTCTTTGTGCCTCTGCTTTCTCATTATAAAATAGAAACCCTTGTCCTCATCTCTGAGTTAATACATGCAGAGCACCTAGAGCAATGCCTGATACATTGTAAGTATTCATACCATAGAAATGTCAGCTCTTACTATTAGCTCTCACCCTGCTGGCCTTATATTAGTCTTCCCCGCCTTGCTTGTTCCTGCCCTTCTTTCCTTTTCTCTTGCAAAAATACCTTATTTTCCTTTACAATGCTTCATTTGCACTGGCTGATGACAGAGTTTTAGGATTATTCTTTCTGAATATATTTTCATACTAACTGGGAGTAATATCTTGAACTTAAGGGTGAAGCTGCCAGCTGTATAGAGAAGGTCTTTGGGGGACATGGTTGGGTTTTTCTTAGTTCCCTGGAATTTGCTCTTTGAAAGCAATACACATATTTGCATATGTTCCATGATGAACATAGTCCTAGGATCTGATAGTTTGTAGTTAAAAGATATTTTAGAAGTGTCTTGGAAATACTAAGACTGAAGTATCTTAAGTCATTGTATACTAAACTACAATTGTGTGTGTGTGTGTGTGTGTGTGTGTGTGTGTATATATATACTTAGTATATCTTATATATATCCCCCTTTAAAAGAAATAGATGCATATCAGGCCAGGTGCAGTGGCTCACACCTGTAATTCTAGCACTTTGGGAGGCCAATGCCAGTGGATTGCTTGAGGTCAGGAGTTTGTGACCAGCCTGGCCAACATAGTGAAACCCCGCCTTTACAAAAATACAAAAATTAGCAGGGCATGGTGGTGCATGCTTGTAATCCCAGCTACTTGGGAGACTGAAGCGGGAGGATTGCTTGGACCTGAGAGGTGGAGGTTGCAGTGAGCCAAGATGGTACCACTGTGCTCCAGCCTGGACAACAGAGTGAGACTCTGTCTCAAAAAAAAAAAAAAAAAAAAGAAGAAAAGAAAAGAAATACATGCACATCAAAATGAGTAACTTCTATGAACCAAAGGACCCAACCAACCAATAGCATGAAAAGAAAACCTGTGGAATTTGAGAAAATTTTTGCAAATCATGTTTCTGGCAAGCAGTTAATATCTAGAATATATGAAAACCTACAGGTCAACAACAAAAATCATCCTGATTAAAAATGAGCTAAGAGGCAGGATGCAGTGGCTCACATCTGTAATCCCAGCACTGTGGGAGGCTGAGGTCAGAGGATCACCAGAGCCTGGAGGTCAAGGCTGTGATGAGCCATAATTGTGCAACTGCAGTCCTCCAGCCTGAGTGACAGAGTGACACCCTGTCTCAAAAATATAAAAGAGGAAGGAAAGGAAGAAGGGAAGGGAAGGGAGGAAAAAAGGAAGGAAGGAAGGGAGGGAGGGAGGGGCAGGCAAAGGACTTTAGACTTTTGCCTGAAGATATACAAATGGCCAAAAAGCACATTGAAAGATGTTTAACATTACTAATCGTTACAGAAATTCAAAAAAGTCACAATTAAATACCACCTTACATCCATTAGGATGGCCACCGTGAAAAACAAAAACTCCAGACAGAGAACAAGTGCTTGTGACAATGTGGAGAATTGGAGCTCCTATACATGGTGGGGATGGCACGGCCTCTCCGGGAAACAGTGCGGCAGTTCCTCAAGAAGTTCCTCAAAAAGAGAAAAAATAGAATTACCATATGACCGAGCCATTCTGCTTCTGGGTGTGCACCCAAAAGAATTGAAAGTGGGGGTACGGTGGCTCATGCCTGTAATCCCAGCATTTTGGGAGGCTGAGGCAGGTGGATCACTTGAGATCAGGAGTTCAAGACCAGCCTGGCCAACATGGTGAAACCCCATCTCTACTAAAAACACAAAAATTAGTCAGACATGGTGGAGGGTGCCTTGTAGTCCCAGGTACTCAGGAGGCCGAGGCATGAGAATCACTTGAACCCAAGAGGTGGAAGTTGCAGTGAGCTGAGATCATGCCTACTGCACTCCAGCCTGGGTGATAGAGTCTCCAAAAAAAAGAACTGAAAGCAGGGTGTCAAAGAGATATTTGTGCATCCATGTTCATCATAGCAGAATCATTCACAATAGCCAAGTGGTAGAAGCAACACAAGTGTCTGTTGACGATAAATGGCTACTTAAAATGTGGTGGATACACTGAACTGTTATTCAATCTTAAAAAGAAAGGAAATTCTGACAATTTTGACACATGCTACAAAATGTAAAAATCATGAGGCCATCATGCTGAGTTAAGTAAGCCAGTCTTGAAAGGACAACTGCTGGATGATTCCACTTCTACGAGGTTTCTAGAATAGTCAAATTCATAGAGAAAGCAAGTAGAATGGTGCTTGGCAGGGGCTGGGGGAGGGCGAATGGAGAGTCATTAGAATTTCAGTTTTGTGAGATGAAAACAATTTTGGCGATTGTTTGCGTAACATTGCGAACATTCGTGACACTATTGAAATGTACACTTAAATGTTAAGATGGTAAATTTTGCAAGTGTTTTACCACAAGAAAAAAGAATTTTTTTAAAAAAAAACACATAGCTCAAATTAGACAAATTATCAGGAATTGAAGTTAATATTCATTTTCAAAAAATATGTATATGTAATCTAGATATTCTGTACATATTTTACACATATATGTAGAAATAAAAAGACAATTTCACAGAAAAGATCATTTTCTAAATTGTTCGTGATTCCCAAAGCAGAATTTAAAAAATAATTGTTATTGAAAGAGAAATGTGAAGATTTGAATTTGAATTATAAATAATAGCATGAAAAAGACAGGGGATTATTTTACTGAGGCCCTCAGACCCTTGGGGGAAAATGAAAACAGGTAAGGACCATTTAGACATAAAAATCAACCTGATTTTCTTAAGAAGAATTTTTTTTTAAGGGGAGCTATAAATGTTATTTCTTAGATTTTGTTTATTTGTTTGTTTTTAAGTTTATTATACTTTAAGTTCTAGGATACACGTGCAGAATGTGCAGGTTTGTTACATAAGTATATATGTGCCATGGTGGTTTGCTGCATCCATCACCCCATCATCTACATTAGATATTTCTCCTAATGCTATCCCACCCCACCCTCCCACCCCCTGCTATCCCTCTGCTAGTCCCGCATTCCCCAACGGGCCCTGGTGTGTGATGTTCCCCTCCCTGTGTCTGTGTGTTCTCATTGTTCAACTCCCACTTATGAGTGAGAACATGCCCTGTTTGGTTTTCTGTTCTTGTGTCAGTTTGCTGAGAATAATGGTTTCCAGCTTTATCCATGTCCCTGCGAAAGACATGAACTCATCCTTTTTTATGGCTACATAGCATTCCATGTGTATATGTGCCGCATTTTCTTTATCCAGTGTATCATCGATGGGCATAGTTTTAAATGTAGAATAAGAAACATAAGATTTCATAGAATGAGTGCAGATATATAAACGCATACTTTCTCCAGCTTACCATTATGAGTAAAGGTGAATAAAGAAAGAACAGCATGGAAGCCTCATGGAGGCCACGCTGAAGGTGAGCGACAGGGATGCAGAGGGCCGGGTAAGCCGCGCTGAAGGCGAGCGACGTGGATGCAGAGGGCTGGCTAAGTTCTGAAGGGCTGGTGGAGCTGTTCCTTAAACCTCTTTGCTGAGTTCAGAACTCAGCCAGCACCAGACTCCCAAATGATAAAGGAAGGTCACAGAAACCTCTGCATTCAAGTATCAGCTGGGAACATCTTATCTTTCCTGGCCTTCCTTCAGGTTCTTTGTGCAGAGGGAACATTTCTTATTTAAAACCTTTGAAGCAAGAATATGTCTCTTTCTTGCCCTCCCCCTCCTGTTTTAAGTGCTAAGGATCAAGATAATTTTCCTTTTTATTTCTTCCATAATATACTGTTTCCTGGCCTCAGACTGGGAAGCACTGATTTGATCAGTGGTTTGAAGAGTGACCTGGTTTCATTGCAGTGGCTGTAATTACTTCTAAATGCACTGTGTTCAGTGCAGTTTGGTGACTTCATAGCTCTTCCAGGGAGGATGGCAGCTGTCAGTCCCATGGCCATCTCAAAGGGTCGTTGTAGAGCGAACTCTGACAGCGCTTTGAGGTGGCCATGGGTTGTTGCTTCCGTGATATTGTGCTCTGCCTTGCCGGCTCTAAGACCCGTAAGTCCCAGGCTCCTGTTAGGAAGATTTGAATATTAAACTCAAGAGGCTTTTCTGTTCGGATAAACGGCTTGCCCCTGCCCTGCCTGCCGTGATCTTCCTTGTCACACACAGGACTGAACGACCCATGGAAATCACAGCAGTCAATAACGACAATACCATCTTGTGTTCAATGTTTGCACATAACGGTCACACCACCTTACTTCATATACAGTCTCATTTGAGAACAATAGCAACTCAAGTTTGATAGAACCAGTGTTATTCCCATTTTATGGATAAAGACTGGAAAGGGAGGCTCAACTAGGGCCGAAAAGATTCCGAATCGTATCTAGGCCCAGTCACTAAGTTACAGAGTAGGATCTACAACTCTGAACTCTTGACTCCAAAGCCAAAGAGAGGCAGGAGTCTAAGAGAATTTTGCATGATTTATCTTGCCAATAAAATAGGAGCATTCCCTAACTTTCCTTGCAGGACGTGCGACAGGAGTGTCACTCATCTGTTTTATTGCTGCCCCTGCTCAAACCCCTTACAGGAGGAGGAACATGCAGATGGGCAGGTGCAGGAGCTGGGGTGCTTGGCACCAGCCCCATGGCAGCATCCAGGGGTGGGAGCCTGTGACTCCCAAAGCCCAAATGGGCATGTGTTACAGTATGCTCCTTTAACCTTACTGTCCACAGACAGCTTAACTAGCTCAGTGGACCCTCTGCCTTTTTGCAAGGGCACAGGGCCAGTGTGACAGCTTTCTGTATCCCA